ATGCATCTTAGATGGCCGCTCACTAGCTTTTAAGACCCCAGATACCACTCAACAAAGTGGGATGCAGAACGTTTTTTTTAATAGATTTTGTGATGCCAGTTGACCTAGATGTCCCCTGAAACCATGGTCCCCAGACCCCTGCCCCTGCTACTCCGTCCCTTGAAGTGTTTGGTTGTATTCAGGAAACTTCTTAGCTTTGGTTTAGTCCAGTTGTGTTGACTTCCCCTGTAGTGTGTGCTGTCCTTCCCTTCACAAATGGCTGGCTTTAACAAAATTTATTTTCTCACAGTTCAGGAAGCTAGAAGTCCGAGTTCAGGGTGCCAGCTCTAGGGGAAGGCTTTCTGTCTCTGTCAGATCTGGAAGAAGATCCTTGTCTTTTTGAGCCTCTGCTTCTGGGCGGTCTTCATTTGCCTTGACATCTCTCTTCCCCATTGTCTGCTTTCACTTGCTTGTTAAATCTCTTTTATATCTCAAAAGAGACCGACTCAAGAGGCACCCTACACTAATCCTGCCTCATTCACATAACAGAGACAACCCATTCCCAGATGGGATTATAACCACAGGCCTAGAAGCTGGTATTTACAACACATATTTTTCTGGGGGGAGCCCTAGTGGCACAGTAGTTAATAACTCGGCTTCTAACCAAAAGGTCGGCAGTTCGAATCCGCTATCTGCTGCTTGGAAACCTTATGGGGTAGTTCTACTCTGTCGTATAGGGTTGCTATGAGTCAGAATCAACTCAAATGCGACGGGCTTTTTTTTTTTTTTTTTTTTTGGAGGGGGGAGAGGAGGACACAATTCAGTCCTTAACATAGCTTAACAGTGATACTTTTAGTATTTGCCTATCTTGTGTCCCTTTGTAATTTTTTTAACTCCAGAACTCTATTCCCTCCTTCAGGATATCATACATATCTTTTTTTCTCTCCATGCTGCTCTGAAATCCTGCTTAGAAAACTGTTAGGAAATGGCTGCAGTCCTGAGCTGTGAGCGGTAAACACAGCCTTTGAGAGCAGGAGCACATTTCCCTTTCATGAACATCAGGTAGGGTTGTATGACTCCTGAGTAGTTCTAGCGTCTGAGCCTTACCTTCCCCACTGTATCGAAGAATGTTGGTGATCTTTTAAGAGGTACTTTGTCTACTTTTGGAGCCGTGGTGGCACAGCGGTTATAGCGCTCAGCTGCTAACCAAAAGGTTGGCGGTTCGAACCCACCAGCTGCTCCATGGGAGAAAGATGTGGCAGTCTGCTTCTGTACCAATTATAGCCTTGGAAACTCTGTGGGGCCATTCTGCTCTGCCCTGTAGGGTCGTTAGGAGTTGGAATCAACTCTACGGCAAGGGGTTTTGTCTAGTTTGTCAGTCAGTCACACCAACAAGATAAACTCTTTAAATTTTTTAGTTGTTGTGTTGTTACCTTCAGCTACACTTCAGTTATTTCATTGGCTGGTTTCAAAATCCCCATGTCCTGGGAATCTGGCTAAGCAAGAAAGAAATGGTAATGGTAAATTTTGTAATGGTACAAATAAATTTCATAATGGAATCAGTTAGAACTCAAATTTTTAGGAGTTTGGTATTAATTATGAAGGACAAAGAAAGAGGCTATGAATTGTCAGAGCTAGTAAACCTGTCAGAGGATGGACTTCTTGCTCTGTTGGAAAGCCATGGTCTCTAGAAGATTAGCTTCGGACCAGTGTCTTAACATGGTTTACCACATATACCTTAGTGCTCTTCTCTGATTCCATGTCTCTTACCAAAACCCTCAGGATTTAAAAGTGGTGATTGACAGAGGAGGGACTCTAGGTATTGCTGGCTCTTGGTAAGGTGGTAATGTGGTTAAAGAGTGTAGCCTCTTTTCTTTATGTTCTTTGCCTAGGACTTCCTCCATCAGGCAGCTGGCAGGACCTGAAGGATCACATGCGAGAGGCTGGGGATGTCTGTTACGCAGATGTGCAGAAGGATGGAATGGGGATGGTTGAATATCTGAGAAAAGAAGATATGGAATATGCCCTGCGTAAACTGGATGACACCAAATTCCGCTCTCATGAGGTGGGTCCCCACCTTCTGTTGAGGTGCTTGAACCCAGGGTACTCCACCTGAACCTGTCCTAGCAGAACTAGCTACAGACTGTGCATTTACTGCCACTTAATGACTTCAGAGTACCACTATAGCTCTATCACAAGTGGACAGAGCCAGGTGATTCACCATGCCTGAGCCCTGCAGAGTCATAGCAGAGAGGTCTGCATTCATAGTATTTGTAACCTGGAGAGAATACTGGCACAGTCTGTCATAATGTGGTGAGCTGTTCTGTGATAGCCCTTTCACAACTGGCTTAATTGACAGTGTCCCCAGTGAACCTCACCTATATGGCTGCACCTCGTCTGGGTCTAGGCTGGGCTCTACAGGGCGCCCTCATCATCTGAGACCTTCTAGCTCCTGCTGTCCCTGAGTTGTCACTTCACTTTTCCTTTCCCAAAGCAATGCAGGGCCCTCTGAAACCTGAGCCAGCTTGACATTTTCTTGTTGGTCACCTGAGCTTAGTTCTTGACGTCGTTCCTTTTAGTAAGGTACTGTGGCTTTGTATCTCTCCATCTGACTCAGGTGGTTGGTGACTATCCTTTTGATACCATTGAGACCAGAGGCCAGACCACCAATAGGACATTCTTTTTTTTTTTTTTTTTTGTTATCCTGCCCTGACTGGGGTTGTCTGGGTGATGTGGATTTCTGGACTTGTTTTCTTTTTATTTAGGATTCATATAATTCCCTAGTTTTATGGCTTGAAGGCTGGTCTTTGCATTGCTTAACTATGTTTTTGCTCAGACTATCCTCTAGGCCTTGAGTTTGGAGCAAAAAGAGTCAGCACCTGGCTGTCCTTCAGTTACACTGCAAAGCAGGGCCTCAGTAGGGTAAATCCTATTACTGAGTTCATCTAAGGAGAAAGCACATGCCTTCTTTCACGTTTAACATCTTTAGATCTTTCAGGAATGCTGGCTGAGGGCAAAGGGTCTGGAGACAAGGCCAACCTGGATGTGACTCCTGCTGCTTATTAATTTCTTAGCCAAGCTACTGTCTGAACCCCAGTTCCTCCATATGCAAAATGGTCACAAGAATATCACTGGCTTACAAAACTATGACAATAACTATTTAGCCCAGGTCCTGACACATGGGAGTTGTTTAATACAGGTTAGCTCCTTCCTAGATGCTTATTCAAAGATGTATATATGAGGTAGCAGGAGACTGACCTCTGAGAACCTTTCCAGTTCTTACATTCTGGGGTCAGTAGCAATAATTTGGATGTCATTAACTGATAACTAATACTTGGGCATTTATCACATGCCAGGCTGCTATTTACTGTGCCACTTGTTCTCATCTTTGAAATGGGGATAGTAAGAGTATCTACCTTGTAGTGTTATTTTGAAGGTTTAACAAGATAATTCATGTAAAGTATCATGCCGTGCCAGGCATGGTAAATGCTCAGTAGTTAACTATTATTGTTAGTCAACCATGTTAGGTATTGGTCTGCCTTTTTTTTTTAAGTCTCTTATTTTTTTCCTTTCCTCTTTTTGTTTGAATTTTAGGGTGAAACATCCTACATCCGAGTTTATCCAGAGAGAAGCACCAGCTATGGCTACTCACGGTCTCGGTCTGGGTCAAGGGGCCGTGACTCTCCATACCAAAGCAGGGGTTCCCCACACTACTACTCTCCTTTCAGGCCCTACTGAGACAACCGGCGATAGAATTTGTTCTTTATTTTTTAGTGTGAACTGAGCTGCTTTGTGCTCAGAATCTACATTCCAGATTGATGATTTAGTGTCTTAGGAAATTTTTTTAATTTTCTTTTTTTTTTTTTTTTTTTAAGGAAAAAAAAAACACAAAAAAACTTACATAATTTCTACCAGGGCCATTATTAGCAGTGAAACATTTTAAACTGCTGAAATTGTGGTTTTGGTTCAGAAACAAGTTGTATATTTTTCACCCCTGATTATGGGAAAAAAAAAATCAGTGCTGTGTGTTTTTGTGGGTTGCTCTGCTATGGAGATCAGCAGTAACTGTGACTGAGTTGGCCCATTCTGTTTAGAAATATATTTTAAACGTTTAGTAATTGACATGTGTGGTTGTCCTTGATTAAGTTCACAGATTTCACCAAACAAGTACACTGGTTTAAAAAGTCCATGGAGTTGTAGTAGCAACTTGTACCAATTAGTAAAGAGCAGGAATGTGTAGCTTTATATGGGGATAAAGATAAATTGGTCTGAAGGTTTGAGACTTTCAATCCTACGGGCAGGTTCAGAGATCTCTTATAGTTTAAGGCCAAGCTTGTAAAAGTAAGTTGCCTTAAAAAGGGAGCATTGCACATCAGGAATGGGAAGACTCAAAATGGGCTTTTTTTTTTTTTTTTTTTTAAAAACATGGCTGCAGCACAAAGATCATTGGGAAATTCTTAGCCAAAACCAACTTTGGTAGATTTAAAAAAAAAAACACCAAACCTGCTGCTGTGGAGTGATTCCGACTCTCAGCGACCCTATAGGACAGAGTAGAACTGCCCCATAGGGTTTCCAAGGAGTGCCTGGTGGATTTGAACTGCTGACCTTTTGGTTAGCAGCTGTAGTTATTAACCACTGTGCCACCAGGGTTTCCGTGGCAGATTGGTTAGGGGGAAAAAAAATCAGGCTCTTTCACTTTTACCCCTAGGTCTGTCTCATTTATCCTGGGTATCTGACGTTTTTGAACAAACAGAAAACACCATCTTTTATTCATTTCAATTCAGTAATCGCAGCAGTGAGGGAGATTGGGGCGGGGGGCTACTTTGTCCCAGGCATACGTTATCTTTTCAGAAAGAGAAACTGTAGGTGTGGCTAGTATCCCTTATGCATATAATAACTATAGTCTACTTTGAACAGTCCTCAGACTTTAGCAAAAAGCCCTGTGCTTTGAACCAAGTGAGTAACAAATCTGAGATGAACTGTTAGAGATAAGGCTGCTGCTCAGGTCAAGAAAACAGCAACTAAAAATGATAACTCGGGTTGTCAAAGTGATCAGATGCTGTGTCTACCATTTACATAAACAGAAAAACTTGAATGAAGTTTTGTATACAGCCGTTTTTCAGGGGAGGCAAAAGAGACAGTGTCTTCCATAGTGAACAGGTGTGTAAGTGAGCACTTGATCTGTTTCCTCCAGAGCTCACAAGGCCCTTTATTTCCACTAGCATCAGGAATTCATTGCCTCCCTTTGGCCAGATCTTTCTAAGTTCTGCCTTCGGAAGAGTCAGTTACTGAAAAATACTTATGCGTCTGTTTTTGTCAGGTGACTGAAGGAATTGGGGATGTCAGGTGTTCACAGGATACTCCCTTCACAGAATCGCTACTCAGCCACGTGGGGAGGGCTCCTGTTCATCCAGCTTTGCCAGAGAGATATTACCTGTTTGCAAACAATAGCAAGAAAGAATGTTATAGCTGAGCCTGCTGCCCAGCACGCTCTACTGAGTTAATCACTTGGTTTGTCAGGAAAATATGCAATGGAAGTAAGTGTAGCTACTGTCTTGTTTTTCTAACTATTAGTATCTAAAAGAATCACGGTTATAAGCTAAGCTAAATTAATGGATGCTTTTCAATAAAGAGGCTAATTAGCCATATGTGTGCATATAGGGGTAGAAGGAAGAGACTGAACTCAGTTGGTCCTAAGCAGCAAAGCTTGAAGCAAGGTTCTATTTGAGAGAACTTACCTATGATCAGGAAACCCTGATGGTGCAGTGGTTAAGAGCTACAGCTGCTAACCAAAAGGTCGGCAGTTCAGACCCACCAGCTCTCCTTGGAAACCCTACGGGGCAGTTCTACCTTGTCCTAAAGGGTGACTGAGTCAGAATCAACTCGACGGCAGTGGGATCTATGATCAACGGATATGTAAGCAGTGACAACTCTTAGGCTCTGAGATGAAGTGATTATAAAATTTCTCTCCACAGTTAACTGGAGTAGTTAATCAGACACATTTTAAGAGTTTAGCTCATATTTTCTAGCTTCCAATCCTTGGCTTCAACCAGAACTTTCGTGTAACTGGTTGGTCTTGAACAAAGAGGTAACCTTTGAGCCGACCAGGGGAAATTAACAACTGCATGTGGCTTTGCAGGTATATATTATTTGCCCTGCATAGTATTTTTTACATGTTGAATTAGTTGCCAACACTTAAAACTTGGAGAATATCACACAAAATGCCAGATGTCCAGGTTCTCTGGGAAAACGGGCTCGCGTTCTTGCCTGGCACCAAATGAGAAGCAGTGGATGCTAGCTGCCCCTTCAGGCAGAGCTCAAACTCCAGACGTGTACACATAGACCCCCTAGTCCTGGTTTGCTCATTTCTGTTATGACTGGGCCGCTAAAGGTGAGCGTGACCCCTGGACTCTACTGCCACCTGAATGCCACCATCTGTATGCACGTTACACTTTCTAAGGTGCTTTCACTTAGCTCATTAGGTCTTCGCAGTTCCTACCTTCATTAGTTCATGTGTGACTATGTTAAGCCACTCTGGGTAACACATACCTGGAGGGGCCACAAAATATTCCTCCACGACCCGATGGGAGTTCTGTAATAGTTCTTCAGCACAGTTGCCTTCTGTCACATCGTCAGATCTCAGGTAAAGGCATCTACAAAGCCCAGAAGCTCAAGGTTACCTTCTCAGGAGGAGGGCTTCTAGGGCATGGTGGAGGAGGGTCAGGAATGGGAGCAGTTTATTTCTGAGTTAGGTTATTGCTCAAAGATAGAAACTGGTCAAACAGTAGATCAAATAACAGTCTGAGTGTATTTTCTTCTGAATTCCTCAGGATTGGTATGTTCAAAAAATATTTATTGGGTGACTACTATGGGTAAGTTACTTTTGGTGGAGACCAGTGAAAAGACAATTACAATACAATGTTAAATCTAACAGGTTAAGCAAAGCCTGCCAAGGGAATACCAAGGGGCACCTAACCCAGCCTGCGTGGGGAGCAGATACTCAGAATAGGTGACGCCACTGCTGACTGCTGAAGGATGGGCAAGCTGTAGTTGGATTGGATGATGGAAACTTCTTGGCAGAAGCAGTGGCATGATCGAAAAGCAAGAGAACCCAGCATATTCAGAGAAAAGAGCCAAGAGGTCGGCAGGGCAGCAGCATGGCGTACTCTGAGGAGGAGGCGGCTAGAAGCCTAAGCAGAATGGAGGAGAAACTTGCTCAAGAGTGGTTGTAAGTGAATTGTTTTATGGGTACTAGCTCATAAATGACAATGGAAATCTGAGCCCATGTCTGGTACCCCTAAGACAGGCTTTTTTTTTTTTTTTTTATTTAACCACAGCCACCTTGGTGGATATAAAAGTACTTGCCCTTGAGCAAGATGTAGCACAAACAACTCAGGAATCTCCCCGTTCTCTGGGCGTAGTGGCTTCATTTGTGTCCAGATGGCAAACTGGTAAAACCAAACAGGAGCCTGAACATATATGAGGCTTCACTATTAAGGTTTAAAAGTGCACGACAAGAGGTCTGAGCCTGCTCCCAGATACGTGGGCTAAAAAAAGCCGTCTAAATCATGGAGAGGGGAGCAGCAAGCTCTGTTCCGAGCAGGGCAGACTGCTGCGGCTTCAGCCTAAACGGGGTGGGGTCACGTGACAAGGGCATGACTGTGACATGAGCCTTTGGTCAAACGCTGCACACAAGTGCTAAGTTTTGACGATAAGATTCTTTCAAGAAAGGACAAATTCTATTTCTTTGGTGCCCTGTGGCACTCAGCCCAGGGCTTGACACTATTTGTTAGTGGTTTGAAAAGTGGAAAGTTGTAGTCTATTCTAGGATCTGCCACTTCAAAATAGTGTGGGCTTAACAACAACAAAAAAATTTCTTTTAAAAAAACAATGTGGCCTTGAACAAGGATGATCTTTCCAGACCTTAAAATTCTCATCAAAAAACCGAAGGTTACACTAGGTTTAAAAAAAAAAATTTGTTGTTGTTGAAATAGACACAGCAGAACATAACATCAATTCAACAATTTCTACATGTACAGAGACACGGATTACATTCTTCAAATTGTGCAACCATTCTCACCTAGATTTTTTTTTTTTTACCACATAAGGATTATGCATTCATTTTAGAAAACTTGGGGAAAAAAAAAACAAAAGTCATCCATAATTGTACCACTCAAAGGTAACCACTGGGCTTTTGGAGTTTACATTTCTGTTGGGCAGTTTAACAAAATGGCTGAGAGCTCTGGCTCCTGAGTCACACCTGAGTTCCAACCACAGTGCCACACATGGTACATGTGCAAGTCACTTAGCCTCCTCATGCTTCAGTTCCCTCCGTTGTAGAATGTTTCATAGGGTTGCTGGGAAGATTAAATGATGTTAAAAAATAAGATCTTACAATGCTGGGCCTCCATTCTCAGGGCAGTAAGAGGTGAGTGTTGAGTAGCAGCGGCTCCTTTCAGGAGAGTTACTGCACCCCAGGTACACCTCAGTCCAAGTATACCTATGCCCTTACCCCAACCCCTTTTAATCATACGTGACCTGCCTGGCCCCTATTGTTTAGAGAATTATTACTGGACATTGGGAGATTTTGATGAAATAAGACTCTACTACCACCAACAGGTGGTTAAAGCTACTGCTTCCCAACAGTAGATCTAATAACGGATTTTTTTCAATATTTGGTAATCAGGTTTCCTATGTAAATAAAATTTACAGAAAAACAAAATTCACCCCTTTAAATACCACACATTTCCACTTAATTACTATTTATGATAGTTATTTCTAGAATAGACTCCCACCTTCCTATTTTCTTAATCATAGGCTACTGGCTTTCTGTGATGTAACACACCAAGCAGACCTTTAACTTGGCAAATCGCTTAACTCTTCTGGACCTCAGAACCGTGTGTAAAACACCAGAATGGGACTAGTTGAACTCTTGAAGTGCATGTCAGTTACTGATTCACTTACTAAATGTCTACCTCACTTGTCTTTCTCAATGAGGGTTTCACAAGAGAATTTAGCCCAAATGCCCTAAGACACCAATTTTGATGATGAATCAACTTCTCTCCTATGCATCTGGACTAGCATTAGTTAATGTACTGTTCTTTGGAGAACTGAGAAAATAATTACTCGAATTTTCTGTGTTCAGGTTCAGATGAGGAACCTGTCTGAGAAAGGGTTCAACTGTGAACTAGAAATCCCTGCCCTCTAAAGTTCACAGACAAGTCACTTAAGCCAGTAACTGTGGAAAACGCTAATACAGAGGCATGGAAAGTGCTGTGGCAGCAGAGAAGTGACATATGTGCTCTGTCAGCCCTTGGACTGAGTAATGAGACAGTTCTGCTGCTTCTGTTTCTTTCTGCCTCTTCCCTGGTATCAGGCTGGCAGGAATCATTTCTCTGGGCACCCTGTACTCTCATCTGAAAGCCTTTTCCCTCTCTCCTAATTTATTCTTTCATGTTTGATGCACACTGGAATGGGAGCTAATCAATTTGGTTAAGAGTTTTGGGTTCACATAAGGCTCCGAGGGCACCTTAAGCACTGAAGTATCTGCCTGCAACCAGAGACACTGTCAACTAATTCAGACTCTGGATTTGAGATGAAGGAGAATACAGTTTCTAGGGGTTGAGTTAAGATGGCTTATCTAGAGCAGAGCCCCAGATTTTCTTACTGCCTGTGAGACTTTGGGCACGTTACTAACCTTTCTGAGTCTCAGTTTCTTCATCTATAAAACATTAGAATGTACCTTCCAGGGTTGTGCATGATAATTGAGATAATACATGCAAATTCTTGGTGCCTGGCATGTTGTAAGCAAGCTAATCTTTTTTAGCTTAAAGCAAATGAGATGTTATTAACATCCAAAGAGACTTCTATTAAGCAGTCAGTGTTTTTGCAGCTAGTATGGCCATTGCCTAAAAACCCTTTAACACCTGTCTTCACTGGGTTCTGTTTCAGACGTTACTGAGGCAGTCTGTTCAAAACACGAGCCTGCTAAAAATGACACATCTCTAAAACGGAGTCATAAACAAAAACTGGTTCCTGAATTTATGTACAGATCACTGAGTACCAAGCTGTGATTCCAGCTACCAGATCCAAACCCTTCTTTTTCACAAGCTCTTTCCTGAGTAATGGTTGCATTGCTTTATAGTTACCCTCTAGAGGACCTGTGCAATTCTGACTCATTTTTGTCCTTCTGTTGCCTCCTTCCCCAAATATATTAATAACACTCATCCAACGAACATTTACTGAGAGTCTACTCAGTGCTGGACACGGAGAACATGATGAGTACAACCAGATATGCACCCTGGAGCTTGGCTACGTGGAGGGAGAAGAAAAGAGAATTAAATATCACTCAAATAGTTGTAAAATTCCATGTAAAATTACTGTTCGATTGAATACCATGAGAGAGCCACAAAGTCCTGAAAAGGAATTTGACTCAGCATAACAGAAGGAAGACTTGGAGGAGTACAGTTGAGATCTGAAGCAAGGAAATTAAGTAGGCAAAAAAGAGGAATACACAGGATGAGGGGTGAGGTAAGGGCAAGTCCCAGAACTCTAGGCAGGAAAGAGCATGGAGAGCTCAAGGAATTATAGCACTGACTTGGAGAGGTGGGCAGAGGCTAGATCAGATGACGCCCGCTAGGATATGGTGAGGCTTTTATCCTGAAGGGCACTGACTGGGAAGCCTCCTAAAGGGCCTGGGTAGGGGAATGACATCAGATTTCTGCTTTGAAATGCTGTGTAACTATGGGCAAATTGGTTAACCTTTCTAGACTTGGGCATCAGATTGCAACGTGGAGAAAGAATTCAAAGGAATCAAAGGCTTGATGTGGGAAAAAGAATTAGGAGGCTAATAATATTAGATGTAAATTTCACAAAGCACTTTTTATCAGGAAAAAGCTAGGACAGATAGTTGTAGATTACCCGTATCATTATAAGCTATAAACCCATTCTTCCTAAGAAGTTGCAGCCCCAAATAGCAAACAAGTCTGCTGCTTGGAGGAAGCTTCTCAAAAAAGAACCTTAAAAAAAAAAATCATCTATATGAGACCAAACAGTCAACATTTACACTAAAGCAAAGATGAGAAGGTCGGGTGGAAGGGGGCAGGGAAGCTAGATTAATGGAAATGGAACAACCAGAACAGAAATAATGGGAATGTTGATACAATATGGAAAATGTAACCAATGTCCCTGAACAATATGTATAGAAATGGTTAAATGGGAACCTAATTTGCTGTATAAACTTTCACCAAAAACACAATAAAACATTTAAAGAACAAAAATTTTAATGTCTTAAAATATATATTAAAATACATTAAAAATTTACTAAGATTTGGCAACAATTGGCAGATCTGGGTAGAAGATGCCCCCTTTACTAAAGTTTCACACCACAATACTTCACTTGTGTTATTACCCTGCCCTCTCAGGCATTTGTGTTTCTGGTCCCTGGTATAAAATGAAAAGTAAAAGCTCCCGTCCCCACTCCCAAAAACTTTTTAAAAAAACTAACCATTATTAAGAGTTTCTTGAATACCTTTTCAGGGGGAAAAAGAAAACAAAACAAACCTTAATGCATATGCCAGAATATACTAAATAGATTAGATTACACATAAAGGATTGATAATACTATACACAGTGTTCTGAATTTTAGCTTTATTATTAAATTTATCTTGGAGCGCTTTCCATATCAGCACATATAGTTAGTTATTTCATTATCAACACCTGCCTAACTTCCAAAGGGAACCACGGAGTCAGAGAATATATATACTTAAAATTCTGAGGGAGGAATACAGCATTTACCAAGGCAGACAATGAGCTCACATCCTATTGGCAAAGACAGATAACGAATCAACCAAAATCATTAATAATTTTCAAAATCAGAGGAAAACCCAACAGGATAAATAGTTAGTGACTGAAAGGGGACAGGGGTTTGAAGTGGTCAGGAGAGACCTCTCTGAGGATATGAGCTGAGACCTGAATGTTAAGGAGACAGCCATGCAAACATTTGGAGGCAGACTGTTCAAGAAAAAAGGAAGAGTAAGTGCAAAGATCCTAGTGAGGGAACAAATTTGCCGTGCTGAAGCAGTAAGGAAGGCAATTGGCTGGAGGTTAGTGAGGGGCAAGTGCAGTGCATCCGAGGGGTAGGCAGGTGGCTCTATCAGGTAAGGCCTCGAAGGCTAGGTTTACTTTGGATTTTATTTCTAGTTACACCGGGGAGGCCTCGAGGACTTTACGCACGGGAGTGACAAGATCCATATGAACAACGGGAAGAGTGAAACCACTTACCCGCGGGATGGCCGTGGGCAAGCTCCTGAATCTCGCTAAGACTCTTTTCCCCTCTGTGAAATGAGAACACCCCTAATCGCCACCTGAAAGGGCTGCGAAGGCACTCTAGTCAAGGCTTCCAGGGCCGCAGCCTGAGTTTACCTGTCCTCCAGTACCGACTCCATGGGCTCCACCCCGTCTGTGTCCACGCCACGGAGCCGGTCGGCAAAGGCAATGGCTTTCTCCAACCGCGCGACGGCCTCGCGGCTGCCAAAGTCCACAAGCGCCAGACGCTCCAGGTGTTCTATCGTCTCGGCTGTGACCTGACCACTTCCCTGGGGGGTGAGAGGGAAGGCGTGTGTTACGGACGGGGCCTGCTCCACCTCCTGGTCCGCTCCGCCGCCCGCCTTGACTCCCCGGCCTTTACCTGAGGATCTGCCTTGCAGGTGAAGCCCCGGCAGCCGCCCAGCCGCGCTCTAAGACCCAGCCTCACCACTCGTGCCCACATTTCTCTCCTTCTCAGCCTCCGTAGTGAACCCGTTACGTAACGCCGAGCGACGCGCCAAAGAGTGATGACATCAGATGCGACCCTGACTGTAGCCGCAGCTGTCGCTGCCGCCATGAACAGCGTTGGGGAAGCATGCACGGACATGAAGCGCGAATACGACCAGTGCTTCAATCGGTGGTTTGCCGAGAAGTTCCTCAAGGGGGATGGCTCCGGGGACCCCTGCACCGACCTCTTTAAGCGCTATCAGCAGTGTGTTCAGGTGAGTCCGGTTCGAGCCCTCCTGCCTCTGCCCCCAAGGCCCCGTGTTCTGTGTCCCCCACCACAAACTTGGCATTTTGGCGGCGGTTGAGACCGGGAGGGTGGAGAAAAGCCACAGTGAGGCCGGTGGCAGGAGACCCCTACCATACTATCACCACCAAGGCCTCCCGGATATCTGAGTGACAGAGTTAAATATTTTTGCAGTGCTTTTTCACGGAGCACATTTTTTGGTTCATTTGGTGCTGGTCTTAAGTTTGGGAAGTGGGCATCGTTATTCGTATTTTATACATGGAGAGCTCAAGCCCAGAGATAGGAAGTGACTGGTCCACGTCATTAGAATCAAGTTTCCTTGATTCTCTTGTGCGTAATGCACTTTTCCACGGGGGGGTTGGGGGGGGTATATGTGTTGTGTGTACGGAGGTGCGGGTGCTAGCCCTTTTCTGGCCTGTTACACACTGTGGAGGGTCCCACTGTTTTTCTTATAATCCCTTAATTGTCCCGTTTATCTCTTTCAACCACATCCCTCCAGCTGCATCTAGGAAATTATGATCCGGGCCTAATAGATGTGGAACTGTTTTAAATATAAAAACTAACAAACAGCACTGGGTAAAGCAGTTCCAGTGAGTTAACCTGTAACATCCTCAGTGTAATTCCAGGATGTAGTTGCTATCTTTATCCCATTTATAGATGAGGAAAGTGAGGCACAAAGTCCTGGAACCAAGATTGGAACCCGTGTCTGTCACTAGGAGTGGTGATACTGTTTTTTAAAATTTTGTTTCTGAATTTTAATGGTTTCCTCACACTTCCTTTCCAGTTTCTCTCTGGTCTTGCATTTAATTTCTTCATAATGGTACTTCTGTTAGTTAAAAAAAAGCATGGGGCTTGAATCATGGTTGGTAGTTTGATTTTACTTTCGTACCATCATGTTCTATTTACAGTTTGGCCCTCAAGCTTCATGTAGACCTTTATGATGTGTTTTCTACTTCCATCAGAAAGCAATAAAGGAGAAGGAGATTCCTATCGAAGGACTGGAGTTCATGGGCCATGGCAAAGAAAAGCCTGAAAACTCTTCTTGACCTTGACAGTCA